GAAGTTATACCTCCCTGTCATCAACAACATTTAATAGCTCATCAATTATTATTATAATAAAAAAGAAGTGCTAAACCTACAAGGGTCATACAGCGCAATAGCTCTTCAAAATACTCTCTCCATCTTCCCAATACCTCTACCTCCATGTCTAATAACTCCCCTCTTTTGTTGTAACTGTTAAAATCCATTTTTCACTAGGCTTTTTCAACTTTTTAATCTAACTCCCAAACTTTTTCTTCTTGGCAAAATTTGTTGAAAAAACCTCAATCACTCTTTCATTTACTTTCCCTTCACCACTCTTTTAACCTCTCTCTTGCTCTCTGTATACTCTACTCCCATACATCACATCTGTAAAAATCTCGTATGCTACCTCTTTCTCCATTACCACTCTGAACTCATCATCCCACTAATTGCTTCTACATCCAAAAACTTCCGAAGCATATGTTACAAGTGTTGCTGCGAGAAGGAGGCTGGAGGCAGTAAAAATGTGGTGTATGAGGGCACTGTGTTTAAATATTATGCAGAGAATTTGTAGTTTGAGGATTAGGAGATGTAGCAATCCTTAAAGCCGTATTCGGAGGACTGAGGAGGGGATATTGTGGCAGTTTGGACATTTAAAGAGGTTGGACAAAAGCAGGATGACTTGGAGGGTGTATAAATCTGTAGTGGAGGGAAGAAGGGGTAGGGGTCGGGATCGTTCCAGGAAAGGTTGAAGGGGGGTAGAGGAAGTCTTGTGTAGAAAGAGCTTGGACGTTCAACAGGCATGTGTACGCATCTTAGATAAGAGTGGAGGCACGTGCTTTGTACGACTTGATGTGCTGGTGGAATGTGAGCAAGGCAACATTTATGAAGGGATTCAGGGAAACCCGTTAGTTGAACTTGAGTCCTGGAGGTAAGAAATATAATGCCTGCACTCTGGTTATTATTATTATAATCAAAAAGAAGTGCTAAACCACAAGGGTTATACAGCACAGCAGGGCAGGGAAGGATGCACGGGTAATGGGTAGCAAGAGGGAGAGGGATGATTATTAGGTTATGAAGTGCAGCAGGGTAGTGGATAGTGCAAGGGTAGCTAGAGATTAAGGTAGAAAGGACTGAGGAGAATGCTAGAGACATCATCATCATCAGAGTTTGTGTAGTAAATCAGTTACTGTCAAAAAGTCAATGAGAGAGTCTGGATTAAAGGAGGGTCCGTCAGCAAGAAGGGAAGGTAAAGAATGGGCAGCAGAGCAGACAACGTTGAAGGTAAATTCTGCATGCTTGTTGATAGAGTGGGCAATCAAACAGAATGTGGCTAACAGATACTGGAACTTGACAATTCTCACAGAGAGGAACAGGGCGCCTCTCCACGAGATACCCGTGAGTACGACAAGTGTGGCCGATGCAAAGACAGGAGAGAGTAGTCTCCCAACCTCGACACTGATAAGAAGACAGCCAGAAAGCTATTCTTGGTTTAATAGTATGAGGTCTGTTATGGAGATCAGACCAACGTTGTTGCCAACGGGTGCGAAGACGGGTAGCAATTACAGCAAAATAGTCCATAAATGGAGCACCTCTATATGAAACTGGGAGGTCATGTACCGCTGACCACACAGCAGTGTCTGCCTGTTCGTTGCCCTGTAAGTCAACATGACAAGGGACCCAACAAAAAACAATATCTCTGTTTGCTAGAGATACAGCGTAACCAAAGTTGGATACAAAGAACTAGTGGGTGAGGTGTATCAAATTTCCGTATAGCCTGTAAAGCACTAAGGTAGTCTAAAACAACTACAAATGGCCACTCAGACATAGATGCAATATGGATAAATGCTACAAGAATTGCAAACAATTCAGCTGTAAAAATGCAAGCCGAAGCTAATAAATGATGCTGTTTGGAAACATTGCTACAAATCTGACACCATCAGAAGACTTGGAACCATCAGTGTACACTGCGATGGCACGAGAATGAGACTGAAAGCTGATTAAGAAAAAGAAAGCAAGAAAAAACCATAGTAATTTGGGTTTTCGCACATGACAGTGGGGAAGAACAGACACAAACCATCGGAACTTCCCAAGGGGGAAGGGAAAAGTTAGATGCTACATGAACATAGAAAGGTGGCAACTGAAGAGAAGACGAGCGAACGTAGGCAAAGAGAAAAGGGATGGAGCAAACGGGCGGTGAACAAATAAAGAACTACTAACATCTGTTACCATCCTATACAGTGGACCCCCGGTATTCGATATTAATCCGTTCCTGAGAGCTCATCGAATACCGATAATATCGAAAACCGAATCAATTTTCCTCATAAAAAATAATGGAAATCAAATTAATCCATGCAAGACGCCCAAAAGTATGAAAAAAAAAATTTTACTACATGAAATATTAAGTTTAATGCAATAGAATAATTACAATAACAATAAAATAATTGACACTTACCTTTAATGAAGATCTGGTGATGATTGATGGGATGGGAGGAGGGGAGAGGTGTTAGTGTTTAGAAGGGGAATCCCCTTCCATTAGGACTTGAGGTAGCAAGTCCTTTTCTGGGGTTGCTTCCCTTCTTCTTTTAATGCTACTAGGACCAGCTTGAGAGTCACTGGACTTCTGTCGCACAACATAACTGGCAGCCTCACCATGCCTAATCACACTATGTATGCCACTACGATTCTTAAATCTTTCAAACCAACCTTTGCTGGCCTTAAATTCACTCACATCACCACTAGTTGCAGGCAATTTCTTTACCAAATCGTCATGCAACTGCCTAGCCTTTTCACAAATGATCGCTTGAGAGATGCTATCTCCTGCTATCTGTTTTTCATTTATCCACACCAGTAACAATCTCTCAACATTTTCTAACACTTGCGGTCGCTGTTTCGTAATCACAGTTGCACCTTTTGCAAGAACAGCTTCCTTGATTGCCGTTTTCCTGGTCACTAGAGATGGTTGATTGGGGTATATTATACAACCTGACCAGCTCCGACACACGCACTCCACTTTCGTACTTTGCAATTACAGTGGACCCCCGCTTTACGATCAGCTCCCAATTTGACCAATTATGTAAGTGTATTTATGTAAGTGTGTTTGTACATGTATGTTTGGGGGTCTGAAATGGACTAATCTAATTCACAATATTCCTTATGGGAACAAATTCGTTCAGTAATGACACCTGAACATACTTCTGGAATGAAATAATATCGTAAAGCGGGGGTCCACTGTATCTATTTCTTCATTTCATAAGTCATTAGCGACTTTTTTCTCGAAGGGTTGGCACTAGAAACTTTCTTGGGGCCCATGGTGACTTATTTTGCAGAAACAAGCACGAAACACAGTGATAATATGGATAATATGGAATGTACCGAATGTATCCTTAGATGCGTGCACACTGGCTGGCTTGTAAACACTAGCACACACGGAGCAGTTCAGGCCACATGTGGACAGGTCTCACACAAATCGTATCGAATACCGGGTTTTCAATCGAATACTGAGGAAATTTTTTTGCGTTAAAATGCATCGAAAACCGGATTTATCGAATACCGATGCCATCGAATACCGGGGGTCCACTGTATATGGAAGGATTACGGAGGTCATGAGAGTGAACAAAATAGTGGAGGCAATGAGTAGCTCTGTAATCAGTCAAGGTAATCAGTAGAGGTTCTCAACAGGTGAAGAGAGAAAAGCACCGAGGCATAAACGTAATCCCTGGTGGTGGATGGGATCAAGGCTAGAAAGAGTTGCAGGAGAGGCTGCCATAATTGCCATAACCTAGTTTTGATAAAATTAGGACAGAATGCAGTTGAAGGAGAGTTCTATGATCGCCCCCATGAAAGATGAGTGAGGGTTTTAACCCTTAAACTGTTCAAACGTTAATCTACGTTCACTCACGTAGCGCTCCAAATGTAGATCTACGTTCAGTTTTACATGCTTTCTTGTGTAAAAAAAAAGTAGATCTATGTTCAGAGCGCTACGCGAGTGAACCTTGATCTACGTTTGGACAGTTTAAGGATTAAGGAGGTTCAGTCGGCTATGACACGTTGCCTTCAAGGAGGTTATGTGAGGTTTCCAGGATAACTGACGGTCAAACAGAAGGCAGTGAAACTTGACAGTATCACATTCTGGGATAAGCGAACCATACAGGTACAATGGATTATCAGGGACAATAAAATGTCTAGTGAAAGTAATTTGGTGTGTTTTAGTACTAGAAAATTTAAACCCATGAGCAGTGGCCCAACTGGAAACACGGTTGACTGCATGCTGGAGGGAAATTGCAATGAGGCAACAGTCAGCACCTGCACAAGCTATAGCAAAGTCATCAACATAGAGTGATGACAAGATATTTGATGGAAGAATAAATGCTAGATCATTTATAGCAAGGAGAAAAAGTGTGGTGCTCAAGACACATCCCTGGGGGACACCTTCAGCTTGGACAAAGTCCGGAGAAAGATTATTATTAGCCTGAACATGAAAATGTCTCTCGGAAAAGAAGTTCCAAGGAAAAATGGTAGACTGCCTCGGAGGCCTTAGGAGTGAGCTTAGGTCAAGATTGTTATATCTTGAAGTGTCATATACCTTCTTGAGATCAAAAAAGATGGCAATAACCAAGTGGTTATTGGCAAAGGCATTACGTACATACAGCCTCTTCTCGCTTAGCGATGTACTCGTTTATCAACGACTTGGACTTATGACGGGCTCTCTGGCCAGTGTGCATACCTAAATAATGTATATTAGAGCTGATTTCCTCTATTCTGTTTATTAAAATATACAGTACACTACTGTATAAACATTTAAAAATATACTAAAAATGTTATAAATGGTGCAAAGGTGACATTAAAAGCAATATCAAAGATGGTTGACATAAACCCACTACCATTATAGTATGCTCCTCGTTTAGTGACAAATTCATTTAGCAACGCGGTATTAGGAGCGGAACTCTGTCATTTAGTGAGGAGAGGCTGTATACTGGGTAATAAAACTCTTTTTATAAGATCATTTTCAAAATTAGGTATTCAAATTAAACACAAAATAAGTTATTTAAAAATCTTTGGTAAACACTGAAGAAAACGGAGGGATGTGTACAGTACATAGATTAGCGAACTGTAATTTATGTTTCTATTTGATATAAACTTACTAATAGTCATGTATTAAAATTTAATTCTTAAGCAAAGTACCCAATATGATGATTGCCAATCTCTCCTCTTACTACTGCAATTCTACATACTACTGATTTCAGTTTTATTTCTAAAGATAATACAAATTCAATAGTGTAATAGAGAACAATAGAATTAATGTTATCTTTACCAATATGGCAATAAGATGTATATTTCCCTTGATACTAACTACAGACTAGATGTAATAGATGTTTATGGAATTTTAGTTCTTAACAATGATTTTATACTAATATTCAGAAATATATTCATAATACTGCCTGGAAAAACCTCTGCCAATTTTATTCAAATATGTAAATGTATGTTAAAATACTATGCTAAAGTGCAGCACTATAATTAAAACTGATACAATAATAATAAAATAAAAATTTTCAAAAAACCTGAACATTTTTGCAGGAACAGAAATGGAAGAATTTTACTGAAGGAATAATTAAGATCCCTGAACAGTTGAATGTACATCATTAATATACTCAAGGTTAAAATATCTTTTGTATGTCAAATATATTAATAATTTTTGAACAGAGGCAATATTAGAGTTCCAATGTGTTATTTCAATATGTTTATGTATCACTGCTAGCATATAGTGGACAATATATGTATCACTGCTAGCATGTGGTGGACAATATGTTTATCACTGCTAGCATGTGGTAGACAATATATGTATCACTACTAGCATGTGGTGGACAATATATGTATCACTTCTAGCATGTGGTGGACAATATATGTATCACTACTAGCATGTGGTGGACAATGTATGTATCACTGCTGGCATGTGGTGGACAATATATGTATCACTGCTAGCATGTAGTGGACAATATATGTATCACTGCTAGCATGTGGTGGAGAATATGTGTATCACTGCTAGCATGTGGTGGACAATATGTTTATCACTGCTAGCATGTGGTAGACAATATATGTATCACTACTAGCATGTGGTGGACAATATATGTATCACTTCTAGCATGTGGTGGACAATATATGTATCACTACTAGCATGTGGTGGACAATGTATGTATCACTGCTGGCATGTGGTGGACAATATATGTATCACTGCTAGCATGTAGTGGACAATATATGTATCACTGCTAGCATGTAGTGGACAATATATGCATCACTGCTGGAATGCACAACCTGTAGGATAAGATACCTATAATGCCATGGCACAATACCAGCATTATCTACACAGTTCTCTATAAAAAGAAAAAAAAAGTTCTTTTTGGAAGCAAAATTCTACTCATACTGCATTTTATACAAGTATATTTACCTGGTCTAACTCAGGCATTCTGCTGTCTACAAAATACACCTTCATACAAATTACACCTAACTCATTCCATAAATCACAACAATCTCACATTCCTCAATATGATAATGGCAGTACATTTCTTATTAAAAAAATGTTGTCTTTACTATGCTTGACAATATCAATGTGCATAATACTTCCCAATTTCAAACTTTCTCACACTAACGTTTATGAATTAGAAACACTGTCCTTGTCTCTCTTCAACATTGTTTAGAAGTAGTGAACAAATATCAATATCCTACACTCCTTACATCTTCTAACATATCCTTTATACCGCCATCTCTTATTTTTCCCCTGAATCAGAATCAATCTAAAGTAATCATTTCTTCTCACATAAATGTAACCAACTGTAGTATAAATAGCATTTAATTACAACTGGTCATTCAGAATATTTTCCTATTAATGTTACAATGAATGACCAGCTATAAATATATGTAATAATTTAGAAAATTAGTAAATACAATGCAAAATATATTTTATGAATAAAAGAAGGCAAATAACATACGGTACATAAAAGAGTGATGAAGAAAAATGATGTATAAAGTTAAGACTTTACAAAGTGCTCTAGAATGAGTATATAATAAAGAAGATAAAGGAATGCTTTAAATGAATGATAATTTCTTCCCATGCAGAGTGAAAAATGTTAAGACAAAGTTCATAGCAACAGAGAAGATATACCAGGAAATTATGAAAACACCACTGTAAATAAAACAATGAATTAATGCTGATTATAACTGCAGAAGCACCAAATATAGAATATGCATAGAAAAGACTACATAAAGACAAGAGAACAGCATAGACCTAATGAACAAATCATGAAGGTCAGCCATTTTCTAAACTGCACTTTTAACACTTTCCACTGTCCAGACCCCAAAATTAATATTGCTCTCAGTGCCCACTTTTAAAAAAAATATATATATAAAAATTTTTTATTCTTCAGAAATGGTAGAGAATCTTCTTCTGAAGATAATGACACCTAAAGTACAAAATTTGATGGAAAAAAACTTACAGAATTACGCACATGCAAAGTTAGCGGTCTTGGTACAATTTGCTTACTGGAGATTTTGCCAACTTTGAGTACTTTTGAAAGCCAATTCTAGTGCTTCATTTGGTGAAATTCTTAGCTATTTTGCTAGCATGCCTTCTGATCTATTGACTGAGCACAAGAAACTGCATACAGATCTACTGCAACTACCATATAAAGTGCACAGCAGTCAGTAATTTAGTCAATTTTACACAAAATTAAAAAATAATAGTTTCAAAATAGAAGGCAAAATAAACCATGTACACATTTCTGTTTATTAATCACATTCCCAGGCTTCACCTATATTACACCTGACTTCCATTCTGAACTAAATTTTAATTATACAAAAATAAAAGATTTACTATGTTTCTTGAATAATAAAATATACACAAATAACCCGCACATAGGAGCAGCTTACAACAATGTTTTGGTCCAACTTGGACCATTTACAAAGTCACACTAACACAGAAGAGCGAGGGAGCCAGTATATATAGGCAAGAGGGATAAGGACTGGCTCCCTCCCTCTTTTGTGTTAGTGTGACTTTGTAAATGGTCCAAGTTGGACCAAAACATCGTCATAAGCTTCTCCTATGTGCAGGTTATTTGTGTATTGTTCCAGTCATGGTACTGTGCCTTTTGCTCATAATAAAAAATAACCAGGAATGATTGGTTATAGTTTACAGTGTCCCAATAATTGAATCATACCTATTAAAAAACAGACTGGGGGAAGGGGGAGAGAGGTGTAGCAGGGTCTTACCCGCCCTCTGGAATATTGGCAAAAATTGAATATTTCCACTATTTTGAGCTCAATTTTAAGCTACTTTTGGTCATGAAATCAATCAAAATAATCTCTATCCCATTTATATGTCTTCCATTCTATCAAATTATACTAAGAAACAGCCAATGAAACCATAAAAATCATCCGAGAAAATACCTCAAATTCGCCATTTTATACCATCCACATGGTCAGTGTTTGTTTTTCCCATCATGCACCACATGGGGAAGGATTTTTTCAAACTGTGCACAGTCACCATATCTAAGTCAAAATGTACTGCTCACAGCTTGTCTGAGTGAGCCGAGCTCATGCAGTAGAATCACATGAGGGACCCTGGCCTCAATGACCTGGTTCTACATGATGACTACTGAAAGGGTTAATGAGTAATCCTCTCATAATAAAAATTACTATACAGTATTTGCATAGTCCAACACAAAGAGTGGGCACTTAAGACACAGGGTAAAAGGGAAAGGTATAATGAATTGATCATGTATCAGTGCAAAAATAAATATGGGCTGCTGTATAGCAAACCAGTATTAAAAAAAAAGTCAAATGAAAGATATTAGAATGTACAAAAAGTGCCCTTTCATTATGCAAGACACCAGGGAAAATGCCAAATGACTAAAAAAAAAAAAAAAAAGCTAGACACAAGACTACCAACAGTGTTATGAAATTTTGTCTATTTGTAAACAAATGCATACCAAGTAAAACTAGGAGAGAAACAAATAAAATACATCCAAACTGTCTCTAAATTGTGATAATCCACTATATATGGAAAAAGCAAATAACATAAGACCTTACAGTCTACTTCCTTCTTACTGCCAACTCTTCCACTGCTGCACTAATTACTCTACCACTACCACTGCTACCTCTACCACTTCTACCACCACTTCTACAATTATACTAAAACCTCCTCCTGTTATTCTTCAGGCACTAGCCTCCCTTTCCCCTCTTGTATATATATACTGGCTCCGTTCCCTTCGTGCTTATGTGACTAGTTACTGGTCCAAGTTAGACCAAAATGTGGTCATAAGTTTCATTCTCCTATTTGTATGTTATCTGTGTATAGCCTATCTACTGTGAGGAAATAACTGTAGTCTGACCTCTTCCTGTCTATGTAGTCAAGGTAAGTATAAAGCAGCAGCAGATTTTCTCTTTGTCTTCCACTGTCTCCAAGCACACTACCAGCTTGAAAAAGTAGTGAGGAATTAACCCTGTTGCACTGAAAAGCATGATTAGATATATAAGAGGAAGGGTTAAAGTATTAAACCTATAGGGTCCCCACAGAGCCTGAAAAATGGAAGGTGATCAGGTTCAATCTGAGAAAGAGGAAGTCAGCTGGAATTCCTTGGGCGAAGAACCCTTGACCAGAATCAAGGATGATCCATGGTTAACCAGTTATTCTGCAGTTTCAGTTGCTAGGGCACTGTATCTAGTCAACCCCTAGTACTACCAAAGTATTATTATTATTATTATTACTATGCTACCACAATGAACTGTAAAATGTACAAAGCAAAAACTGAAAGAAATAATTAAAGCTTAACATCCATGATGATGAGAGGTGTTAGAATTAAGTAGCAAAGTTATAAAGTATAGGAAAACAATGCATTATTCAAAGCCAATACTGATAGCTATTATAATAACCTAGAGAAGTTATTTTTATAGGCATTCCCATATTCTGACCAAGAGATCACTGTAAGTAATTTTATTTTCTATAATGGACTATATTGTAGCTGGCATGCACATGAGATGCACAAACCCAGTATTATCACATATGAACTAAAATATAGTAAAAGATAATGAGATAATTGGAAATGGAATGTAAAAATTAAAGATGAAAACAGATATATCTAAAAGCAAGTATTTAATATTAAGTACGAATGTAAACCAGTGCCAAATAAGAGTGAAGATTTAGTACCAGCTTTTTTCTTTTTTACAAGCAAAGGATTGAAAAGAAATGTATCAGTGCAGCAATAAATTCATGAATGTGTTCTTCACTGACATGCTATCAAGTTAGAGCAAAAATCTGGGCATGTGAAAGCTCTGTTGCGCTTTATTCCTAATGTACCTGTACACTTGTAATGGATGAAAATGGAAAAACAAATTAGCTTGAAAAACTATCAGGAGATGAATTAAATAATTTCAAGAGATTAAGGTATCCTAAACATGAACAACGAAAACTGGCTAACTTCAAGGTAGAAAAACTGTAGGCAGTAGTTTATAAAGCAGTACAAGAATGGTATACAATACCGACAAGATGAAATTAAGACACGTGTGCAACACCTGGGTATCTTCATTGTAGTCGTGGAAACTATGGTGCTCTTCGCACCTACTCCAAGGTTGAGGGACTGATTACCTCATCTTCTGTATATAGTTCTACTGTCTTCAAGTTATGTCCTGGAATTTGTATTGATAAAGCCACTGGATGGCAAAACGTCTACAATAAAGAGACCCAGATGTTGCACATGTGTCTTAATTTCATCAATTTATAAAGCAAAATGGATTACTGGGCATTTGCAATTTCTTGACACAAGAGGAGAAATACTGTAACATATAGTCAACAAATATTTCAGAAAGGTGAATTTTTGTTTCTGATTTGAAAATAGAAAGGAAGGTATGAAAAATGTAAAGATAGGACTAGAAATTTCAAGCAACTAGTATACACGAGGGTTGCATGCCAGAAAAAATAAGCACCACCATGGCCAAAAAACCAGGTTAAAGAATGAATCAATTCCTTAATGTTTAATCTGTGGGGATGTGTAGATGTTGTCTTCTGCATCTTTAAGTTAGGCTCAAAGCCCCATAACAAAGTATAGTAACTTAAGCTTTATAGCTTCGATCTTCCCCATCCTTGCATTTTCCTTCACTGCTTCAATCTGGTGCTTACTTTTTTTTTTGCCATGCAAGACCTCATATGTATTGTATGTAGAATATTCAAAGATAACTTTTATGAGGAAGGTAGAAATAAATACATAAACAATGTTGAAGTCTGAAGTTTAACAGAAATAAAACATTTTTATGGTGTAAATTTCCACCGGTTAGCATCATTAACTAATAATGCAAGACAAGACATTCATCTTTAAAAAATAATGTTAAGCTTGAGCTTCATGAACAATATATTCCCAGATGATGCATTACTAACATATCAATGTAAAAAGTTAACTATAACAGAAAATATAATATCACTAAGACGTTTTAAAACATAACTGCAATAAGGAAACATTTACACTGTAGTGCCTTGCGCGCACACACACACACACACACACACACACCCACACACACACACACAAAACCTCTCATGCTTCTAAACTTCATAGTAAAATACATTTATGTTCTTTTGGTCCTTTGTTCCAGGGAATAATGCTTGACATAGCTAAATCAAAAGAAATACAGTAAATCCTCAATTTAACATACTAATGGGGAGACAGTGTGGCCAATAATGGCAACTGTAATGGACAGAGATAAGACTGTTTTGTAGTGATCTTAACAATTGTAGACAATTCTGTAACAAACAGACATTGTCATTTCTAAATCAACTAACCCAACAGATTTTTTTCCCATATTTCTGAAGTGTGTTAAGTTGAGGTCTTCTGAATTATTGGTTTATTGTTCATTCAGACTACTGAATACCTGGTACAGTTATATAAGAAGTGTGATAAAACTACTATACTACATTTCTATTACAATTAAGGAACTTGGCACTATAAATGATAATGAAATGATATAGTAAATTTTCTCACTGACAATGAAAATAACATTTTGCAAGGCATGTGGTAACTACTGTATATACAACAATTTTCAACTATATCCAATACCTGCAAAAAACTAATTAGCTAATATTACATATTTACAGCATCAGATCTTCAGTAATTTTTGGTGTGGAGAAATCTTCTTTGAGAACAAGATGTCATACAGGTACTTCCTTGCCTAGTCACTGCAAAAAACAAAAGTAAAGATTATTTTTCCTTTACTCTAATATAATGGCACATGAACAAAAGTGACTAATTAGTAGATTAATACAGTAGTAGTGAAAATATGCTAGTTAATTAGTGATAAATTGAAATTTTTATTTAGAGCCATAAAGTTATTTCCGGTTCTTTGGAAGAGTGGCTGACATATACTGGTAGTTTCCTGACAAACCTTTCAGACAGTTCAGTACATCACATGTTGGCTTGTACACCTTAAGAGTGATGTCACATGACTTGCTCTGTACAACAGAATTTTTTTAAGTGAATTTCTGGCAATTATCATTATATACTCACAAAATGCACTTGACAAATATGGGGCAAAAAGTGCTACAAGATTGATGGGAGCTATCAATAAATTCTGATGATTGAATTTGTGACCAATATAAAGAAAAATTTAGGATTTGCCACCATTCTTTTAATAAAGATAACAGAATTAACTATATGGCCAAGAAGAGACTAGCACCAATTCCAAAGACATTCAACATCTCAAGAGATACTACTAGAGAAGAAAAGCACAGAACAAAGATGGTGCATTACAGACAAACATATTTTAGGTGTGTTTATAAACTGTATAAAGAAGCATCCTATCTGAAGCATTTGTTTTAAATTATCCAGTAAAACCTCAATTGTCCAGGTATCAGCAGCTGCCAGTTTTCATCAACATAATAGTTATTATTAAAATTACAGAGAAGAACTGAACTTGTCAAGTTTATACAGTGTCCTGGGAAATGAGAAGTAATCAAGCTCTGTCTAAAGAAAAGGAGGATGGCTAAAATTCCTTGGATCAAGAGCCCTTCACTAGCATCAAGGCACCAATATTAAAGGGAACAGTTACTAACCCTTAAACTGTCCAAATGTTGATCTACGTTCACTCGTGTAGTGCTCCAAACATAGATATACTTTTTTTAAATGCTTTCAAATGGAGAAAATCAAGGTCGGAGCACTACGCACATAAATGTAGAACTATGTTTGAACAGTTTAAGGGTTAAAATAGATCACAAATTATTTATAACAGCTAGCTGCAGATTTATGCAAAAATATACCTGAGTAAGTAGAGCGCCTGTATCACTTAATCTAAATCTTGTATAATTTCTTATATTACTGTTAATCTAGTTTGTATTTCTATAACATAATTTCAATATCAAAATAAACTTTTAGTATAGTATTAGTTCTGCCAGTAAATACTATGCAATCACCATCTTGTAAATTATTTTTATTTTTATTATTATCACACTGGCCGATTCCCACCAAGGCAGGGTGGCCCGAAAAAGAAAAACTTTCACCATCATTCACTCCATCACTGTCTTGCCAGAAGGGTGCTTTACACTACAGTTTTTAAATTGCAACATTAACACCCCTCCTTCAGAGTGCAGGCACTGTACTTCCCATCTCCAGGACTCAAGTCCGGCCTGCCGGTTTCCCTGAACCCCTTCATAAATGTTACTTTGCTCACACTCCAACAGCACGTCAAGTATTAAAAACCATTTGTCTCCATTCACTCCTATCAAACACGCTCACGCATGCCTGCTGGAAGTCCCAAACCCCTCGCACACAAAACCTCCTTTACCCCCTCTCTCCAACCTTTCCTAGGCTGACCCCTACCCCGCCTTCCTTCCACTACAGACTGATACACTCTTGAAGTCATTCTGTTTCGCTCCATTCTCTCTATATGTCCGAACCACCTCAACAACCCTTCCTCAGCCCTCTGGACAACAGTTTTGGTAATCCCGCACCTCCTCCTAACTTCCAAACTACGAATTCTCTGCATTATATTCACACCACACATTGCCCTCAGACACGACATCTCCACTGCCTCCAGCCTTCTCCTCGCTGCAACATTCATCACCCATGCTTCACACCCATATAAGAGCGTTGGTAAAACTATACTCTCATACATTCCCCTCTTTGACTCCAAGGACAAAGTTCTTTGTCTCCACAGACTCCTAAGTGCACCACTCACTCTTTTCCCCTCATCAATTCTATGATTCACCTCATCTTTCATAGACCCATCCGCTGACACGTCCACTCCCAAATATCTGAATACATTCACCTCCTCCATACTCTCTCCCTCCAATCTAATATTCAATCTTTCATCACCTAATCTTTTTGTTATCCTCATAACCTTACTCTTTCCTGTATTCACCTTTAATTTTCTTCTTTTGCACACCCTACCAAATTCATCCACCAATCTCTGCAACTTCTCTTCAGAATCTCCCAAGAGCACAGTGTCATCAGCAAAGAGCAGCCGTGACAACTCCCACTTTGTGTGTGATTCTTTATCTTTTAACTCCACACCTCTTGCCAAGACCCTCGCATTTACTTCTCTTACAACCCCATCTATAAATATATTAAACAACCACGGTGACATCACACATCCCTGTCTAAGGCCTACTTTTAATGGGAAAAAATTTCCCTCTTTCCTACATACTCTAACTTGAGCCTCACTATCCTCGTAAAAACTCTTCACTGCTTTCAGTAACCTACCTCCTACACCATACACTTGCAACATCTGCCACATTGCCCCCCTATCCACCCTGTCATACGCCTTTTCCAAATCCATAAATGCCACAAAGACCTCTTTAGCCTTATCTAAATACTGTTCACTTATATGTTTCACTGTAAACACCTGGTCCACACACCCCCTACCTTTCCCAAAGCCTCCTTGTTCTTCTGCTATCCTATTCTCCGTCTTACTTTTAATTCTTTCAATAATAACTCTACCATACACTTTACCAGGTATACTCAGCAGACTTATCCCCCTATAATTTTTGCACTCTCTTTTATCCCCTTTGCCTTTATACAAAGGAACTATGCATGCTCTCTGCCAATCCCTAGGTACCTTACCCTCTTCCATACATTTATTAAATAATTGCACCAACCACTCCAAAACTATATCCCCACCTGCTTTTAACATTTCTATCTTTATCCCATCAATCCCGGCTGCCTTACCCCTTTCATTCTACCTACTGCCTCACGAACTTCCCCCACACTCACAACTGGCTCTTCCTCACTCCTACAAGATGTTATTCCTCCCTGTCCTATACACGAAATCACAGCTTCCCTATCTTCATCAACATTTAACAATTCCTCAAAATATTCCCTCCATCTTCCCAATACCTCTAACTCTCCATTTAATAACTCTCCTCTCCTATTTTTAACTGACAAATCCATTTGTTCTCTAGGTTTTCTTAACTTGTTAATCTCACTCCAAAACTTTTTCTTATTTTCAACAAAATTTGTTGATAACATCTCACCCACTCTCTCATTTGCTCTCTTTTTACATTGCTTCACCACTCTCTTAACCTCTCTCTTTTTCTCCATATATAAATTATAAATTATCAATTTAGTATAATTATACACCTATCCCCATCTCCTCTTACATAGTTTAAATCCTTGGTGCTTTGATTCCTCTTGAAACTCTTACTATCTGGGGATCTTGGGTAAAAACTGAACTACAAATTAAAACTCCCTCTGTGTGGTTCAAACAATTTAGAACATGTGAAAATGTGAAAGACCATACTATATTTGTTAAACAAAATAACATATGCAGGATTAAGTGTCACATAAACAAGGCAAAGCAAACACCATTTGCTTACAATACAAAACAGGATGTAAGGAAAGAGTAAGGATTGTTTCAGCCCCCCTCCCCCCCCCCCCAAAAAAAAAAATGCAAGCTTAAATACAGAAGGGAAGAAATAAAGAAAGAGAAAAGCTTGGATAAAATAGACACAAAGAATGGGACACTATTATTTACCTAGGTAGTTATGTGGAGCTAGCTAATACAGCAATTCATTCACTAATACTAGAGAACAATTATTACCAGGATAAGTATGGACTCTCTCCATGGTATTGCTTACATTCCAAGAAAACAGCCCCCTGTTCCCTCCATTTGTGAAGGTTCAAAGAAGAAGAATTATTTATACTGTTCTGAACCTTCACAGATGTCATCTTGTTTAACAGTCCTAATATACAATATACTTTGGCACTGACTTTATTTCTGAGCACTTTCAAGCGTAATAATTTTGTGACCACATGTGTCTTAACCTGATCTTTAATATACTGATTCTCAATGCCCTAATGCCTTGACCTTGCTATACTATCAGCTTAGGCTGTAGTCTCCTCACTTTATCGTAGCTTTTGTTTGCAAAGCTGTTATTGACAATCTCATAAAGATACCTACTGAGATGACAACCAAATAAATCATACTCAGTATTGATAAGACCCTCTACATAATACAGTGGACCCTCGGTTATTTGCCGTTCCTGTTATCAGCCAACTCAGTAATCGGCCATTATTTCGGTGAGCGACCATTTCGGGCGCGTCTGTCCACCGGCTGGGGCCGCTTGCGTGTCGGTTTGGCTGTCTCTCTCGGCGCGCGAGGAAGCTTCTGCTCATACATCCAAACATTTCGCTCGTTTTCCATTGTATTTTGTGGGTTTTTTTGCAATGCAACTGTGAAATAAGTAACCATGGCTCCGAAGAAAGTTCCTAGTAAAGTTCTTGTGGTAAAGAAAGTGAGAAACACCCATGGAATTTAAGCATGAAGTGTAGCAGGTATGTAGGGAGTGTAGCAGGCATACAGGAGTGTAGCAGGCATACAGGAGTGTAGCAGGCATGCAGGGAGTGTAGCGGGCATGTGGGGAGTGTAGTGGGCATCCAGGGAGTGTAGCAGGCATGCAAGGAGTGTAGCAGGCATGCAAGGAGTGTAGCAGGCATGCATGGAATGTAGCAGACATGCAGGAAGTGTAGCAGGCATGCAGGGAGTGTAGCAGGCATGCAGGGAGTGTAGCAGGCATGCAGGGAGTGTAACAGACAGGCAGGGAGTGTAACAGGCATGCAGCAAGTGTTGCAGGAAGTGTAGCAGGCATTCCAGAAGCCAGCATTAGTCTTCAATAAAGGTATGTAATACTGATTTAATTGTTAAAAAAAAAACATTTTTTTTGTGAATATTTTTCTCTGAAACAGA